AAAAAGGCATGGTATCTGTGCACATTGGATAAATTGTTCAGAAATCTCCGTGAATATGATATTGGTATTGTGCATACTTACAAGATTAGTGTCAACATGGGTTATCTATCATGTAAGTGCAAGTCAAGCAAGTTAGACCTGCCTCAGGGGTGGTTTAGTTTGTATACCCAACTATTCAGACAAAGCAGCTGTGGAGGTTTTGGAAGAGAGGACTGAGGAGGGGTGATTTTTCCTTTGGTCCAGGCTTCCCATCTGGTTGTACTGTCTCCATTTTCTCCAGTGTGCCTTGATAAGTGCAGGTGATCAGTGCCCTATTAACCTTTAGGATAAGTAAGACCTAAATGGAACACCCCCCTCCCTAGTCACTCCCCCTCCCCCGAGAGGAGATATATGTAACCTGTACATTAGTTACACAGTGAATGGGACATATCAGAAGTTGATGATATATTTAGTCCATGTCATCTTTTTTTTCCTGCCAATTTCCAAGCCATTAAATACTACATTTTTAATGCTTTTCTGTAAATTTTATTATTTTCCTTGACCTATTTCTTTGTATAGTTGCTTGTTGTTGTGATTAATTGAGTATAGATATTTTGATTGGCAAATTCCATTTTCTGAAAATTCAAGATTAATTTTAGTGGTATAGAATATAATGCGAAATTTTACAAGTACATAGCATTTGTTGAAAATTTTGTAAATTATGTAGTTGGAGAAGGTTGACAGCTCAAGACGTATTTAGGAATTCATTATTTTCTCTGTGTCAGGTAAAAAATGGTCGCTTCTCCCACCACGACAGTTCTTCTCTTTGGGCCCACAAAATCCAGCTTTCATTTGTCTAAGTAGTAATGTAGACTAGCATGTAAAAACTGGCTAATGAGATCACAGTAGTATGAAGGTCTTTTCATAGGCTCATTTAACTTTGGAATGATTATAAAACATAACTACTAATTTATTTTGCATGTTCTTGTTAATTTTAATGGGATTCAGTAGTGCTCATCTGGTTATGAGCTTCTGAGTATTTCTCTGTCACAGAAATTGTCTAACTCAGTACGTGGATTCAGGAAGAAAAGGAACATTTTTTTCCTATTTGCAGTTCTGTAATTTACATAATATTCTTTAAAAATACATATTTTTGTAGTGTAAATTAATGCCTTTAAGTAGTTTATATATAACTAAAAATACGTAGTCTGACTATTAAGTAACTTTAAACATTTTTATTCATACTTTCAGAAGATATACTTTATAGATTGTTTGTAAATTATGTATTTTCAAATAAAATTTGGGATGTCCCATTGACATAGTGCAATTTAAGTCTCGCTCAGAAGTCCTAATCTGAATTAAGACTCCTTTTGTTTTCAGTTGCATGGGAGAGCTATATGACGGAAGGATGGATACCAGTGAATGTATATGCCTTTAAACTAGTAGTCTCTCTAGCAAGTAGTTCTTGCTTTAGTGAAACCAGTTGTGTCTTTGGCCCAATCTATCTGATTCAAAACAAATATATCTAAATATACCTTGTATAGGTGGCTCTCAACCATGTTCTAAAATATTCCTGAATGTTTCAGTGAGTAGTGCTTTACACTTTGAAACATTTTTACTATAGCAAAAATGTGAACACGTAGGTCTTACGTGAAATAGAGACACATCAGAATGACTGTTGATTTATCGAATAGTACAACTGCTTAAGAGCTGTAGTGCACTTCGGTGTGGTTATTTGCATTTTAAAAAAGACCACATGCCACCAACAAGGCAAGACAGTGAATAAGAGCATGTAGTCTCAAATCAAAGTGGTGTCATAGAGGCAGTGTTCAAACATGTAACAGGTAAACTTATCCCAGTGATTTGTGATCTAAACGTAAAATGAGCTGGGAGATGAATGCAACAAATAAATGAGTGAGTTAAAGGGAATAACTTGCAGCACGTGGGCATTGTATTCATTAATTTAAGTCAAGTCTCAAAGGAATGTCTTCATCTAGGAATGAATTTGGCTTTCATTTTGAATTAAATTATTTTTATGTTCTAGTGTTTTCTGAAACAACTGTGACAATTCACATAAATAAGAGTCAAATTCTGTTAGTTGTGCTCATAAGAAATACTGCTTTATTATGTAAAAACTCTAGTGCACCGTGTCGTATGACAAAATGCTACCAACTGCATAACTTTGTCAGTGTTCAAAATGGATCTGTCACCTATCTAGCTTCTGTGCTAGGGAGGTGATCATAATTGTTACACATTTTACCATTTGGAGAAAAAAATTATTAGAATTCCTCTAAATGTACATTTTAACGAGCATCTACATATCAAATTTATTCAGCCGTTGACCAATGCACTTTTTCTTTCGCAGATATTGCAGAAGTTTGGTTGTTTAACTCAAATATTAGGGACCTGAATGGGAAGTCAAAGCCGAGTGGCACGTAGGTGACTTTTAATTCAATTGTGTTCTACTGTTCACATGTTGAGACTGTTCCCACCTGAGTAAACAATGCTACATTGAGGTGCCAGAATCACTTGAACTTTCATCCACTGCAACTGTATTTAAAAAAGAAATTCTGTCAAGATGCTTTTAAGGCCTTGGTTGGCAAGTTCTGTGAATTTGATTGTAAACTTTTAAGGTTCAGATGGAATTCAGGTGGAATTGTTAGATATCGAGCAGTAGAAAAAACATGTCTGTAAGCACTGTCAATATGGGATAGGTAAACAATGACATTAAAGATCTACATGCTATGGTCCAAGCGATGGAACATGTTAGCTCAGTTGGAGGAAGGGTAGAGAACTGTTACGTGGTAAGATGGAATGATTCGAATTATTCAGGTCCACGTTTTAGGATGCAAACAAAAATCAAAACAAATCAATGTTTATAACAAAAGTAATGTTATTTTTAAGAGGCAACTGCCTTCATCAAATAAACCACTGGAATCTAGCCTAAATGAAATACAGGTGAAAAGATAAGTTCCTAAAGGTGAAGATTTGTGCTGGTAAAAAGGAAGTTGATAGGTAAGGCCTGCCATCTGTCTGTGACATATATGCCACATCTACTATGTGAGATCTTGTCCACCTTAAATACTCCCTATTGACTTCTGAAAAATTGTAGAAATACTGATAATTCAAAAAGACCAAAGATAAAATTTTAATAATCAAGACTAACGAGTGTGGTTGTTTTCATATTAAGAATAATGATGATAGAATTTTATCATCAAAAATTTCTCTTAAGAAGGCTGTATCTCACCAAAATAGCTCATGTTTTGATGTAAGATTTCGTATATCATAACTATCTTGGCTTGCTTTCTGAGCTGAAGCAAAAGGTGATGTTTAATACAATCCAAGCTAACAAAACTGATTTTTTGAATTTTTTTTTGGCACAGAGGAATTAACCATAAGGTGTATTTCTGTCTAGGCTTCAGGTACTCAAGAAACTTCAAAGATTTAGAGGCATAGCTACACCTGCAATATATTAATGGGAAATTGGAAAGCAAAGTGATAGCATCTCTCTCAATTGGTTGGACATTTCCATTCTGGATCCAGGGTGACCATACAACCATCGAGCAAAGTTTTATTGACAGATATTTTACTTTCCAGCTAAGAATTGCCGCACACCTTCACCTCCTCATATTTGCCTTAGGATCCTTACCTGTTTTTAACATTTTCTTCTTTTTTCTCTTTGTATTAAGAGTCATAAGATTTCCTTCTCATTTCCCAGTGCTGTCCTACTGTGCAGGGGTTTCACGTAGTGTTTATTCCTCCAGCCTGTCATTCTTTGCTCTTCCTTCTTCACTTGCTCTACTACAGAGGCTGCCAGGTAGCTTTCAGTTTTCTAGGAACTTCGACCTTCCCAGCAGGTTTTGTTACACTCTACAAACAAAGGAAGAAGTTAGAACTGCAGCTCTTTTAAATGTCCAAACATCTTGTAACAAAGTGTGTATTAATAATGCCAGTTGGAACACAGATTTTTTTTTAAACTGTGGGAAAGCAGTCTTTTCTTTATAAAATTCTACATTCATTTTACTCTTCAGTGTGCTTCTGTCTGACCTTGTCAGCAAGGGAGAATTGCCAAGAGGCACCGTCGAGAGGCTGGTAGGATCAGCTTCAGAAGTAGCAGAGTTTCAGGCATTAAGGCTATGTCTATATTAGTAAATTAAACAATACTTGGAAATATTTCGAGGTCTCTGCCACAGTTTTGGTCTTTGCAAACTAACATTGTTCCAGAAAATTCTCAGACATTTATTTGACCACGTCCGTTAGACAGTTTGCGTGCAGCCCCTCTGTTTTGGAGCGTATGGGACTATACTAGCATAGATGTAGGATTATCTGTGCCAGTTGATTTCAGCAAAGAGAAATGTGCTTAGGCATAAATGTAATATAATTATACCTTCTACAGACCTGCATGGTCTTTAGTTCTTGTGCCTTGTCCAGCCTTCTCCCTTCAATGCAGTCTTGCAGCCTCAGCTTCAAAGCTGTTTTTTTTCTTTCTACTTGTCCTTTTGTCCTTCCTAAAATGCATATAGATTTAAATTTCATTGGCATGCTGTCTCCCAGCTTTTGTTCCTTCCCTCACATGACCCTGTGAACTTCTTGGTAGTGATACTGTGTGCAGTTCTCTCTCTGGAACAAACTACTTCAGGGAAACCTCCCTCGTGTTTGCCTTTAGGTGCTTAAAAATAGAATATAAAAAAAATAAGAGCAGACTTTGAGTGATGCCTTATCTGTCCCTCTACTACAAGGCAGAAACTTGATGAACAATTACATTTCTTTGCGGGCTACGCTTAAGCTGACTGTTTGTTAAGACAATCTTTCTCTTTCAACTTGCTTGGTCTTTCAATGAGAATGTTTATGTCAAAATAGAAAAACTAAAAATTATAACTCCTTCCTTTTTCTTTCAGAATACTTATGGATCAGCTTATGCACATCTAGAACTAATTAGAGGTTGTGATAAAGCCAAATTCTATTTTGCTTTCATTAAATGATGTCTAAATAGCTATCAACGCTTCTCTTTGTCTTGTCAGGATGGTGGTACTGGAATTGATTTTGGACATCACTTCAGTTCAAGGTTGAAGTTAAAAGGTCTTTTTGAGGCTTAGAAGAAGCAGGTGAGTCCTGAGTATTATTTTTTGCAACTTTCTTTTGTTCTGGAATTGCTGTTCTTGCTGACCAATCCATACTCTGACCGTCTCTGCTTCCTCTGACCCACTGAGATGCATGACTGCTTGTATTCTGACTAGATAGCAGAGAATATTTAAGTCATGCAGGCTTTCCCTCCCTGCTTTTTCAGTCCCTGCCACAAAAATAAGTGAAAACGTGGTTCTCTCACCAAGGTCTCTGGAACTCTGGAGAAAGTTTCACCGTATAGTTTCATTACATCAGCTGCATTAGGAGTATGATAATTAAGCTAATTTGGTTAGTAGATTCTTTTGGGATATATTTGTATAAATATGTTTTGTAATAAATCAAAAATTTAAAAGGCAAGATCAAATAGCAATGAATCCCTGAGTTCATATATTCCTGGTTTCCTGAAACTGGGATGAGCTCTGTTCCATTGGTAACCAGGAATATTCCATGAAGACAAGGACCATGAGTTCAAATCTCGTTTGAATTGCTTTGTGCCTTAACAGTCTGAACCTGCCTGTGAAGAAACACTGTTAGTGAGTATAGCACCACCCTGGGAATCGGCATGCCCGCACTGAATACCTTGCTTAGCTCCAGACTTTCACAGCTATCTCGAGTGAATCATACACAACTGGAGATCAGTTTTTTTAACTTGGAGAGATCTGGAAAAGGGCATTCCGAAGGAATTAATGTCAGATGAGAGCTTAGCACACCCCTCGCATCTAGTACAGATTTTTTGTACTTGCTATTGCCATTATTCACATTTTGCTTTTCCTAGAGGGGTAGAAAATGTCTTGAGACTATTTCCAGGATTTTTCAAATTAAAAGTTTTAGGTAGTTTTTTAATGTGTAAACTGTGAAATATGCTCAACTGGTGCCTGATTCTAAATCTTATAGATGCAGATTTCAACAGGGTACAACAAACAAACTCACCATAATAGGAACCAGGCCCAATTGCTTCTATGTGCACCATAGTTTCCAAAGTAAATATGTATTGTTTCCCCATATGCCATTTACAATAACTGCTAACTATTTTGAAATATTAAAATATACCTATATAATCCATAATATTAATATATCCATCTTCATGGATTGATGGCTCAGAAGGGCAAGAAAAAGAAGTAGTTCCAGAGGAGTTAATGATGGTGAGAGTAATTAGTGCTGAAACGATGTTTATAACAAGTTTTTCTAAAGTTTCACCCTCTGGGAGGAAGCACAGACCTTTTTAACCTAATTCAAAGCAGTGCAAAACAAGACCAACCGTCCTGGTATGTGTTTCACTGTGACTGTCTTTACCCACTGGGTAATAAGACAGGAAAATTCTTTTCTTCCGATTTAACTTCACCTTCACCTTCTTCCAAGCACTAGCCTGAAGGGTACAGTATGAATGTGGTGAAACCATAAAAAGAAGAAAAGATACAATATTAGCTTTAGCAACATTGTAAATCAAAGGATACACAGCACTATACAGGGCAACTGTAGACATTACAGGCATCACATAAGAGTGTGTATGGCTGTATGTTAATCTGTAGTAATGTATTTGCAAAAGAGTGTTTTTTTCTTGCATTACCCAATGGAGAAAACAGTAAAAAAGGTCAGATTCTTTGCTTTCTAGATAGCAATGGAAATATGACTGATTTCTATCACATATTTGTACATGTATGTCTGAACAGTGTAGCTTGTCTGTAGTAATACTAGTTTCTTCATAGACAGCACCAGTATTTTGTAGAACTGTTTGGTTTGATAGAAACTGTGTAGTAATTGTGTAGTAATTTTGTAGTAATTGTGTAGTAATTGAAATTTGGTGAGCCAATAAGAGATTTTTATTTTTTACAGGATATTTTTTTCTGGAAATTTACTATGTTCCGTACCAAATAATGTCAGAAATGCAGTAATACTGACTTGTGCATCTATAATAGTTTGGCAGTATCATTTTATTGAATTCCAGCATGTCTGGAACTTAAGGCATATGGAGGAAAGTAACTGTTATTCTGTTTCCTCCATTATTTTGTTCCATAACTTTAAGTTAAATACAATCTATAAAAATGCTTTCTGTAAGGAAAGCCAAAAATCTTTTTGGCCTTTTTAGCACTGGTCTCTATTTCTTGCAGTATGTGACAGTGGAGAGGGAATGTTTTTGTAGTCCATGAGGAAATAGTAGTAAATTCTGAAAGCTAGTTCTTCAGTATGTCATTTAGAGTTGATAGTTTTTTATAGCAGGACATGGTGTGTTTGCACTGATTGAAAACTGGGATTCAGTCATAAAAGTAGTGATAGAAACACATAAAAATAAAATTGCGTTCATGAGTACATTTTTAATTAACAGACAGAAAAATTCTGTTTGCTTCCTATACTGTCTTTCAATAGACCATTTAACTGTTTAGGAGTTAGTTTTAGAAAACTGCATTAGAGTTGGAAAAACTGAAACCAAGACAAAAATCCATACTGGAAAAATGTGAAAGCAGAGAAAAAATGTTCCATTCTTGGACTGGTGGCTTAAATGGACATTTTTGGGACTATTAGTGATACAGTTACATCTGGATTTTCTGAGTTAATCAGGCTTTGAAAAAAAAGCTAAGGAAGTTTTCTAAATATGAATATTTTCCCTGTTAGTGAACTGAATTGTAGTTGTGGTATTAATTGTTATTAAATTGATCTAGCTCTTCTGTCCTGTATTGGCAATTTGTGGAAGAGGACACATTGTGCTCATTTCTGTTTCTTCCCGGTACTACAGAACTTCAAAGAGCATGACTCACGTACACGTATTGTACGCGTAGGCATTTTGTGTAGCTATCAAATATTCAGTCTCTCTCTCTCTGTTTATTTTGCATAGGACAAACATAATAATATCGTTAGATGACTACAAAAGTACATCTCATATAGTTACCTTGTAGATGAACTGGAACTCTCTCAAGAGTTGTGTAAGGACTCGTTGCTGGTGATCATGTTGATGACCAATGTGTGAAACATTTGGTGTACAAGTCATTCCATCAACTGGATAATGGATTGGCATTACCTTTGTCCACAAAGAAGGCAAACCCTTCCACATGTCTGGTCAGAAGGCAAATAAGTTTTGATACTGCGGTAGGTGAAGGGGAGGAGCGTACACAGCATAATGCTGAAAGGAAAAGATGGTACCTACTTTCCAAGGAGTAAGTGGATGGGGATTGATGGGCTTTGGCTTCAATCTGGTTTCCACCAGGAAGAGTCTGAAACATAAACAGTACTTTACATTGTAATGCAATTGTATTATAACAGAGACACTGTTTATTGTAGGATTTTGAATTATCTTTCCAGGGTGATTGTGAATAGCTGTAATTTACTGATTTGAGGGAACCTGAAGGCAAATTTTGTGAAAAAGTAGTTTACATTGATAGAATCGAATTTGTGGCCTGGAACTATGAGGTAGTAAATTTTTGCAATGATTATATGAGGTATCAAACTATGGATTTAAACTGACCAGCTTTTCAATTCAGCTGAATATTAAGTACAGTCTTAATGGTACGATTTGCTTGGAAGAGCACTATTACAATAATCTGCTTTTTACAGCCCATATCAAATATGAACTTGCATCACTTATTACAAAGTTTGTGCTTTGGGTGATATTTTCACAGCATCTGGGAGCGATGCCCCACATTGCTTGGAATTAGTCCTTGATGATACTGTCTTCAGAAATGAGTTATTGCTCAATACACTGATTGTTTTGTGGTTTCTAGCATAGAAATTTTTAAGGAAAAGCTATTTGAAATCTCATGTTTTTTCAAGTAATTGTATGAAATGAGGAGGGATGGTGTGCATCTGAACAATTTTATGATTCTTTTTTCTGTGTGACGTGAATGAAAAAGGTGAGAACTCTTAATTTTTAACTGAACTGAATACAGATTTCTGAATGTGGCCTGCTTGAGAACAGAGGACCATTACCGTAGTTGTCATGTAAAATAAAGTTGGAGTCTGAAGCTCCCTTTTAGCTGTCAGCTTTATTAAGGAGCTACTGGTGTGTTGAACTAGGCACACGCATTATATAAGCAGTGTATGGTAGTGTCTAGGGAGAACTTTCTCTCTTTTCACCGCTGCTTTATTAGGTCTCGCTCACTCATTCACTGTTGCCCTGTCTTACTCCAGCTTTCTGGCTGCAGCTCACAGCACCGGAGGTCTAATGTAGATTGACGCCTTTGCCAGAGGACTGATTGAAACTTGTGTCTCATAGTTGCTAATGCTCACTCAACCATTTTATTGAAGATAAAGTAAATAAAATAGATTGCCATATGAGAATTCTCTGAAATCAAATGGAATAATTTGACAGGTTTAAGCCCATGAAAAAGCCGAAGCTTTGAAACAGATGGGAATACTTTCTATGCACAATATACCAGGAAAAGGTGTCTGCTGGCTTGATGTTAAACTGTTAATGGCTTTTACCAAAACTATAATTGTTGAAAATATCATCATCATTTCCAATGGAATTTCCAGTGGTGTTTAAATTGTTACTTCTCTCAAACAGAGGGATTTTTTTTAGTTTAAAAGTAATGGATATGCTGATTGTATTTTCTTATTGCTTCTGATTTTCTAAGACCCTGGTGATGGATAACCATAAATTTAAAATTTAATTTAAAAAAAAGTGTGGTACTATTTCTAGAGTACACTGCAAGATCTTCGAGATTAACTGAGGGTGAGTTTATTATTTGAGAAAATAGTTATGTGAAATAATATGAAATAGATTGTTACTTTTATAGGTTTTTAATAATCACCTAAGTGACATAATTTTGAATATCAAAAGTAAAGTAGCTAAAATAAGCCCTGACATTTCTATAAGTATGTGTGATACAGTACACGAAATAGATGAACTGCTACAGCTCTTGTGACAAACTGTGAATAATGGTCAACAAACCTCAAATTTTCTTCACAGCGCTTCTGTTGTATAAAGAATTGCTGGAGATGAGCAGTGTAGTATGTCTGTGTTATTTTTAGAAATAAGATAATACGGAAT